GAACAATAGCTTCAAAGAGTAGGAACTGTTCATCTGTAGGTACAGTTTTCTTCCAATCATCACCTGTATTGTGTAAGTATGCGTGGAACCTTCAGTCGAAGCATGGCGTGCAGCATATCATAATGGCTATTCCATCTTGTGGTTACTGTGGAGGGTTTTTCAACTCACATCTAACCTGGAACAAGCATCTTTTAACAAAGCACTGAAGGGCTGTTGATTTATGAAGCCTGGTAGTAAGTGAGCTGGCTTTAAAAAAAGCATCTTTTAGTTCCGGGGTACCCTCAACTGTTCTTTGAAGTGCAGTGTTGAGTTTGTGATCACAACATGTAACAGAGCCTTCTTCTTTAGTCATTAAAAATACACTGTTGTTTAGAGCACATGCCATATTTGATGCCTGATCAATAACACACAGCTTATTGGGTATTTTTTTTAATGATTCAGGGCATGAGAATGTGTTAAAAGCACTTGACTTTTGCAATGTTGATACCAGTGTGCTGCTCTTTGAATAAACACACTTCTAATGTAAATTTCTTTAGGGCAAAGTCTGGTGAGATATAATGTAATGTCACGGAAATGTATGAATCATTTGCGTTTGATGTCCAGTGGTCGATGGTTATGGCAACCTGATTAAGATCTATGAGCTTTTTATCCGTAACTTATATGGTAAAACCGAGGGAGTTTGTTTTTTAAAAAAGTTGTTGAATTTTTTATTGTGGCATTTGGTAATATTTTGTTTATAAACCTCTTAAAATTTTCAGAATCAGCAAAACTGAACGGCAAGCACTCAGTAGCAATCAAAGTAATGATGTCACAATCAACTACTAATTGACGCCAATCTTAAAGTGGCCACTTTTTTGTTACCGCTTTTGGGAGAGTGAGAATTTTAAAGGCTACGTCTTTAGCGGATCCAGAAGCACCTGCCTTGATTACGTTTAGTTCTTCGTCTCTCTGTGATCACCGCTCGTCTTCTTTTTTTTTGAAATTCAATGAATAACTTCCTGTTGCGTTTGAATATGCTTTTGCAAGCCAGTAGTATTTGCTTGCTTTGTTGCAAGCTTATTTCCACAAGTTTTACACAGAGCAGATTCTCCTGAAAATGTAACAAATAAAAGTTTTAGGGGCATTTACTGTAAATTTTACGTCAATGGAATTGAATTAAGTCAATTGAACTAAATAATTTGAAAAATGTTATTACCAAAAAGACCCTTTAATAAGCGTGATTTTAATTTTTTTTTTTTTTTTTCTTACAATTAGTAGGTATCTTTATTTGAAACAAAAAAAAAATTCAGATTGGACAGTCATACAACATGGCAATCAATTTTTGCAGCAAAAAATTGTACTTTGCGATTTATGAATTATTGCTCCACCAATTAAATTAATTTTTTTATCTCAATAATAAGTGGACACGGACATAAAAAAGACGTCTTTTAAACATCTTGTACACGTTTTGGACGTCTTTTGAACGTTCAAAAGACGTCTTTTTTTTGGTCCAGTGCCCACTAGGTAAAAGCATAAAAAAAACTGCGTTTTTAGTTAAAAAAAAATTTTATTTTTTTTTTAACTAAAACTTTAAGAAGTTTAATTCTCATGAAAGAATTGAACCTAGAACTCCGTGCTTATATGCCAAATCCGTTCGGCCTCGCAAACTTACGTGTTTAAAGATAAATTATTATATCTGATAATAATTCTGCCAGTAATTAATTTTAGAATTAATTCCTGACATTGCCGGTAATTACCTTTTGAGAATAAGTATAAAAAATACTTAGTAAGTAGTGCTTACCTATATTTTTCTTGAAATAATCCCAGATTAAAGATGTTGTTAAAGGCATAACGGTTGAAGATTAGTTTTCTTTAATAGCTAAAGAATACTTATGTTTAATTGTTTAAAACTAATGTTTAGTTATTTAATGTTGAACACAGAACAAAGACCAGGCAAGAATTGCGATACCATGAGAGATTTAATAAAGTAACGATACCAGGAGAGAAATTAAAATCATAATGCGATATCACACAATTAATTAAACTAAAATAACTGTAATGACTGTTCAATGCAACTAAGGCATTGAACAAACAAACTCATTAAAAAAAAAAAAGCCGATAATTTAAAACAAAGCCAATTGGTTGTTAGTGGCAAACCGAAAAGCTTTTTAGTTATTAGTATTTAATTTATGCAAACAAAGAATTTGTATTGAAAGTAATTTATTTATAAATTTTACCGCCTCTGTTTTTGATTGTTTACGTATTCTGAATGGAATAAATTATTCTTTCAAGATGGCCGAATAAGTCATGAGTATTTCAAAAAATGATACTAAATACCGAAAACAGTTTTTTAAATGGGGCTGAAAGTTATGATTATTTATGCAAAAACGACTTTGGTAGAAAAATTAACACTACCATAGGTTATCTAAACCTAACATGACATTATTGTTAAACATACTCATTTAGGTGTGGTATTAAAAATAGTAACTTCAATTTTTATTAAAAAAATGGTTTCTCATGGATAATTTTCCCAAATAATGTCTGATTAAAAATGTCAAGTAACATTCATTAAAAACAGACACCAATACGTGCTTTTATAAAAAAATCATTTTTATAGACTTATCTATAGCCAAGCCCCAAAGTACTTTATGTTGAAATTGCATCTTTTCTAAGTAAAACAAAGCTTGAGATTTGTTATAAACGCATTACTTTTACCAGATTATAATAGTGGTTAAAATAATCTTTCCATACATACCAAATATGTCATACTTTTTGATGAAAAAACTTATATAAATTGTAATTGAAAAAACTTACATTTTTGTTCAGAAAAACGAGTACCAAGCCTTAGTTGCATTGAGTTTTACGAAATCAATTCCTTTGAACAATTATTTCTAGTAAGCGCCTAGAACAATCATTAACCATTGCATCAGAAGCAATTTTCTTTTGAGAATTATATGAAAAACACTCTTTAATGATTGCAAAACTATTCCCTTGGAGATTATTTCCGCACAGAAAATTTTCGTTTGAATGGAATAAAAATTCGATAGAGTTGGAATAACGATATCGGAAACTACACATTGCAGGGGCTGATCCAGGTCATTGTTCTAGGGGGGTAGTCGGACCAAAAAAATATAAAAAATAAGTCTCGCGTTTTTTGAAATAAAATTACTGTTTCATTTGATATTTAGAATGATTTTAGAAAGGTTATAAGATAGTCAGTAATAATAAATATATTGAATGGTTATATAAGTATTTCTTCTTATTTGTTTAATTTTATCAATAATATTTTGAAGTTTGACATTTCTTAGGTAGGGGAAGGGGGTAGTTACCCCGAATACCACTTACCCTCCCTTACCTTTTTGTTCGCCTCTTACTGTTTAACATAATTTAATTATTTGTAAAAATTTGATATAGAAATAAATGTTAAAAAAATCTTTTCTTTTCTTTTAATCACAGTAGAAAAAATTGTAATAAAGATAACAGATGAGATATTAAAATACAGAAGTGGTACCACACAATTATTTAAATTAAAACAAAGATACCAGATGAGAAATTAAATGATAAACATGATGTCATACAACCAGCTAAGAGAACTTTTTTTTTATAATAAATGAGCCATTATGTATCTCATTAATTATACGAATTTACTATTTCAAATTACTAAGCGTTTATAAAAATAACATGAAAGTTCTCATTATGACCCGAGTTGCAATACCAATTGATACTATCGGTACCAAACAATACCAACATAATCGATAACTTTTGATACTAGTATCGATATCGGTACCGTAAGGTATTGCACCGACACCAAACGATACCAACATAAACGATACTTTCGATACCAGTATCGCGTAATCTCGATATCGGTACTGTACGGTATCGCAGCGATGCCAAACGATACCAACATAAACGATACTTTCAATACCAGTATCGCGTGAATTCGATACCGATACTGTATGGTATCGCACCGATACCAGACGAGAAATCGAGACTCGAGACCGATTATCTAGAGTCTATTCGGAATGTGTAAACAATTAAAAAAAAAAAGTCGGAAAATTTTATAAATAATTTACAATCAATTTGAATTCTTTGTTTGCATAAATTAAATACCAATAAATAAAAAGTTTTTCGGTTCGCCACTAACAACCAATCGAATTTGTTTTAAATTATCGGCTTTTTTTTTTACGAGTTTGTTCTGTCTTAGTTGCATTGAGCTAGGCTAGTTCAAATATTTTAAACAATGAAGCGCTATTAAAGATGGGGTAATAATTTTAGATCTAGTCAAAATTTGACAGTTTGAGACTTGCAGTGGCTGCTGAATTGGAACCAAAACAAAACAAAAAAATTGTTTACGGATTATTAGTTTTCCAAAATCTGGAATATTTATTAGGGAATTTTGACAATTGAAATAAAAGTTGTTCTTTTATATTGATACCGGGCTGAAATATATACCTTAACAAAAACATTAGTGGATGAGCCCTTGCTTAGATGGAGTGTATTTATATTTATAATATTTATATTTATAATATTATAAATATATTGTAATTACAAAAGAAATAGTTTCAGTCTGATATTAAAATTATTTTTGGAAATTGAAATTGATGCTGAAATTTATTTCTAGTAATGAATTTATTTAGCTATTTATTTATATTATTTAATTTATTTATATTTTTTTAGGAATAAAATTATTTAGTCTATATGTTTGTTTTTTTTTAATTTGTAAAATTAATTATTTCTTAAAGCACTTCTTAAACATTTACTTTTTGTTGAGCTTTGAATAATTTATTTTAAATTAAAGATTAGATACAAATACCAGTCTGTTGATTTATTATTGTTGTTAGTCAGTCTTATTGTAGTTATTATTATTTATAATATATATATATATATATATATATATATATATATATATATATATATATATATATATATATATATATATATATATATATATATATATATATATATATATATATATATATATATATGCACACACGCACATGTATCCAATTTTATTTTTCTAGGTCCCAAGAGTATTTATAAACCGCAAATTTATTGGCGGAGGCACTGATTTAAAAATGCTACATGAAAATGGAGAATTAGAGAAGCTTGTGAAATCAAGTTAAAATATTGTATTAGTTTTGAAGTATTTTTAAATTATTAGGATGTAATCTTGAAATAGTTTGTATTTATGCTTTTGCTTTTGTGCGAGCGAAAAAAAAAAAGTATAAGGTGACAGGGCTGGCAAAATACCTTGGGCCCCGCATGATATCAGTAATAACCTTGAGCAATAGTGTAGGGTAAGTTTAGCAATCAACAAATGAATGAATATGCATGGTACGAAAAAATGGGTGAATCATCAATAAAACTTTCACTAACAATTAGCGTGTGTTTAATTTATAAACTTTATTTTATACACTTTAATTACGTAAGTAAGAGAGGAGAAAAAAATAATAACATAGTCAGTATTTAACTAATCTGGAAACGCGGGCCGTTTTGTTATAACACTTAAGTTCCTCTCTATACTAGTGCTCAGCCTACATTTGAGTGCATCAAATTGTAAACATTGTATTTTGCTATAGTTAAGTTGCATATATTCTTGGGATAAATATTGATATGGCAGCAGTAAATTGTGTTTGTTTTAGTTATTCAGTTTTAAGTTATTAATTTGGATTGCATACATATTTCGTATTGCGATTAAAATGATGAATATAGCATAAAATAAAGACATTAACTGTTGATAAATATAGTTACGTGAAAGAGGTTGTAGTGGTATGAATATGCATATTCAAACCATATAGCTTATATTCTATGACATATTTTAGATTTAAAAGCTATTTATTTTATACATATAACCATATAACAATGAATTCAAATGATTGAATCCACTTTTTGAGTGCCTTAACTAAAGTCAGTTAATGATCTTCTAAATCAAGTTATCCAAGAAGTTTTAAGGACTTCAGTATTTCTTTTAGTTGTTTCAACAATGGCCGGACAGCCTCTATGCGCGCACTCCATCTAGTTTGGGACATCCCAGTTGCCTTAGTCAAATTTTTACAGTGCACGGGGCTGCTACTGCAAAGGTTATACAACAATTGGATGTTGCCAAAATAGTTCTTGACTACATAAGAGGATTCTGCAGAATGAACGCCAGCTAGATTGAGACTATGCGCTCTGCAAGGCATGAACAAAGCTTGATGATTTTTCTCCAGAATGATAACCTGCACTCTTGTATACACCAGGCATATTAGCCTTGTTACCGCAACCCTGGTCCCTAGAGTTTTTTAAATCAATTTAGCCATGATTCAAAACATCTATAATCAGCTTCGCAGAACTGTTTTTTTTTCTTCATACAATCTACCTTAAGTAAACAGCCGTGAGCAGCCGTGGCGCAGTGGTTAGAGTTCTGGCTCAGAACCCAGAGGTCTGGGGTTCGACGCCAGCTCTAGCCCAACAAGCGACATTGGTACGGAAGGAGGCGTCAACTTCCTGTTAAATGCTCTCCCGCGGTGCTCTATGATAAGACCGTAAGGACTTCTGGGAGCACCTAAATACATACAAAAAAAAAACAAAAAAAAACGCTCTATTACTATCAATTAGTTGTCAGATCCTAGGCGGACAAATTGAAGAACCAAAGTGATTTGTTCCGTATGAGACATGTCCGGAGTTCGATCAGAAATAATTGAAAAATAAATGCTTGTGTAGACTTCTTCGATAAACAGTTTCACCACATGCTTTAATAAACTCATTTTGAGCTCTCCAGCTCAAATAGTGCGCTTGCATTCTTGTTCCATTTTTTTGATGTAGAGAAACTTTTTCTAGGTGGAACTCAAGTGTCTTATTGTTTCCCCAACTGAAATAAAGGTTACATCTAGATTATTATTCCAAGCAACATTAAAATTATTTTATGAGCACAAATTGCTAACACACCTCGAAAGCTTAGATTTCTCGAAACTAAATGGAGAGTGACACCCAGGACGCAGCGTAAAATTTCATACCACTTAGATGCCTCATTTCTTATTGACTTTTCAAGTTCTGAACCACTTAGATGCCTCATTTCTAATTGACTTTTCAAGGCTTTAAAGACTGATTTTCAGACGATGTACAGTGGGCCAGAATTCACTTTTACTGGACGAAATTCATTACTAATTTAATATTGGAGCTATATTCACTAAACTTAGCATGAGTACTGATATGATGTTTGCACTTTTTATGAAGCTATATTTTTTATTTCGTTGCTATGGATACCTCTATTTTGATTACAAAAACCTATTTTTGTTATCTGCAGATATTTTATGAGTGCTATATTCCCTAAATTTGGCATGAGTACCAATATGAGATCACACTTATTATAAAAATGATAATTTTTTTAATTTAGTTGCTATGGATACTTATATTGCTTATTACCAGATACTTTCCTTAGTTACAATGATGTAAGTTGATATTTGAATATTCTATTGGATTTTCGACCCACCTATAATGAATAACAATTGATTTTTTAGGTTAATAATGTTTTTGCTATAATAAAAACAAAAAAATAGTGCAAGAAAGTATTGTCAATTTTAAATTACATTAAAGAATTATAAAACAATAATATCGTTTAAAGATTGTTTAAGTAATTGTAAAAGATCTGAAGGAAATGCTTTATGATTTGTTCGGTGTGATGTTGATTTACACAGTGATGAAATAACAGGATCACTGGAAACTAAGAGTCTATTGATAAAATCAGTATTTGTTGCTTTTCTGGATGTTTTTTGGCTGAAATTTTCACGATAAGATTTGAAGTCTTTATTTCTAACCTCTTGAGCTTCCTCTGACATAAGTCCGATGGGTAATGTAAGCTTTTTAATTATGTCATGTCCATGTATCAATACTTTGTGAACTGATTTAGCCATGTAATATCATGGATAAAGGGACACATATAGTCTAAAAGTGTCAAAGCAATAATCCTTGAATTTTAAGCTGTCTATTTCATATCCTTAAGAGAGTGTTACCAATCGTCAGGTTAGAATTATTTTGTTCTAACTCTCCATTTGTTTAAACTGAGATAAATCAAGTTGAAGTTTTACACTGCAATCCAGCAGAAGTGGCAATACATTTTTTAATAATGCAAACGTTTTTCAATACTTGACTATATGCTCATTATAATTATTTGTTGTGAAAAAATTTTTTTTTGCTCAAATCGCTATTATGGCCCCACCCTGTTTGGAGATAGAACAAAATAACTTTTAAATTTTAACTTCGTGTTAATATTATTTTGTGCTATCTCCATTTTTTAGTAAATACAACTTGAACGTTTTGCCAGGAGATGATGGATTACAAGAAATTACTTTTAATTTAGGGATTTAAAAGCAAATATAGACCCTAAAACACTTAGTTGGCAAATTTAAATGGATATGGTCATTTAATAAGTTTTCTAGATATATTGCTTCTGGTAGGATGGGCAGCTTCAATTTTAACAAACTGATTTTAACCAAAGCTATATTATTTATAATAAAACTACTTTTTATCTAAAAAGATTTATTAAAAATAAAAAATAAATGTCTTTAATACAAATAACAAGTTAAGAACAGTTTAAATGAACCTTATACAAGATAAAACTGAATAGTGCATAACACAAATAAAGTATATCCGGATAAAGAGTTGAAAAAACAACTACTGAAATAATGTTTTATAGAAACAAACATCTACAGCTGGCATGTAAGGATACATAGAAATAATGTCTTTTATCTTCTCACTAGAAATTTCAATATTTTGTCGAAAACAAGATGCCAATGGAATTGATAATTCTTCAAGATTACTTCCTGATGATCGTGTGTTTTTTGGCTTAGACAGCCGTGCCTCTTTATAAATATCTGTAAAACGAGTCTTGAAATACACATGACCAGGAGCATTAAACCTATATACAAGCGTTTTAACATTAAAGTATGGAACATTTTTGTAGTTCAGAAGACTAGCAATTTTTGAAAAATTTTTAATATCGCTTTTTTGCATTTGGTATACAAAAAATGGTTTACGTTGGTTAACATTCAACATTGCTTTCACCAACCCAAGAGGACTAAATATTTCTGCTGAATGTAATGATTTCTCAATCTGACTATGTATATTATCACATTCCTGAATAGAGCTGTGCCCTGGCTCACAATACTTTTGCTCAATGATTTCAATATTTGGATGATCAATAAGAAACTCACGCAATGCAGCTGACATATGACTGTTTCTATTCTGTGGAACGCAAGAATCAAACCAAAGTATAAATTTATTAATATTAGGAAGATCCTTGTAAACTTTATTTAGCATACATATCACAGCACTGGCAATGTCATTACCAGAACGACCTGACATACCTTCATGCCATAATATACAATATGCTTTTTTGTTCAGTGAAGAGTGACCTGTTAAGTTATAACAGCTGAGCTTTCTTTTATAAAAGAAGTTTCCCATATTACTTTTTGGCAAGCCCAAGACATTTTGTAGATCAATACAAACTATGGTTGTGGAAGGGGAGTTCAACTTTCGATCTTTATCTCTCTCAATTTTTGTTTCATTCTTTGATGCAATATGCTTGTTATACTTTTGGATTTGCTCTTCATTTGCATCTTCAATAATTTGAAATTTGTAGCATGTATCACACAGATCTTTTTTCGGCTTTTGAAATTCAATATTAAATTTTGTATTAAAAACATTGCGGTACATACATGCCTTTGCTGGTGAAACTTTATATTGAGTGCAATATGTTAAATACAAATTATAAAGTTTCTTCAAATTTAATGACCCATCAAAGTATTGTTTGCAGGAAATGCTTCGACAATAATGTGACTCAACTCGTGGAAACAAGTTGATATGGTTTTCTATACTCTGTTTAGTCATTTCAAGAACATTTTTTTTTACAATGTTTCCCCCATTTTGTTGGGGCAGGAATACCAGTTGCAAGTTTATTTTCATGATAGTATGATATTTGCCTGCTGCTGATGTCTAATGTAGACAAATAAAACTCCTTACATACACGATGCTTGATATTATCAACAAAGAAATTGTAAAAATAAGTATATTTTCTCCTTGAATTGCTTACTTTATTGGTTCGAGATCTTTTTTTATCTAATCGTTCAGTAGTTTTACTAAAAAAATGTTGCTTTTCAATCTGAGACATTCCCCACAGTCCATTAAATAATATTTTTCTCTCGTCTTCTGAAATCTTCTCAAAACACTTAAACTTGCAACAATTTTTACAATCTTTTTTATTTTTAATACTTCTTGGTTGAATAACTTTGCCTCTAACATTTATATATTCCTTTCCTGATTGTCTAAGTCGCTTTCTTTTTGACTGTTTCCAGTTATAACAGTTTGCTTTACGTTTTCTTGTTTTTCCACCATGTGGAGGTAATCGCAGTTGATCAGAAATTAATGGATGCGTTGAAACATAGGGTGTAACCATGATATTAGCTTGTTGTGGGTAATCTGAAAATAAAAATCAAACATAAAAAAAGGTTATGCAATGCAAAATAATTTTATGTTTGAAGTTATATTATTTTAAGAAGAGACAAATTTTTTCCATATATGAAACGATTCATTTGAGTCTTTATTTATTTAGTATATAAAACGTGTTGTATATACTAAATAAACAAAGACGTACGGAATACGTGAGGATATTTAATATACTGTTGTATATGTCACATACACATACAATATATACATACATAAATAAAAAATATACACACATATAGTATATGTGTATCACGGATTATATAACCAATTCTGTTGTATATTTGACATATATGTATGTATATGTATATATATATATGGTTATATACATACAATAGTGTATATATATATATATAACCATATATATTATATGATATATATACACTGTATGTCACATATACAACAGAATCCGCCTGCTTTTAATTAGATGATGATACATTTCTTACTAAAATAATATGTAGAATTATGAATAATAACTAAAAAAACCCGATTGACACAAGAATATATAAGAAAATACCTATATTTTTGTTTATTACTCTAAGATATACACTATTTTCATCCGCCATTTTAAAATTAAATTAGAGGAAATAAACACGAACTGATTACTTAATGTGAATTATACGCAATTTTATTGGTTGTTGGAAATATAACAAAATAACATTAAAAACTGTTGATATTTTGCAAATAGAACAATCGGATACACCTGATTTGACACTATTAAAAAAAAAAATTAATTTCAAAAGTAATACAGCTAAAAAGAAAAATTAACAATAAAAAAGAAATTGGTATTAACTCATTTTTCTCAAATTTGGAGATAGAACAAAATAATTCTAACCTGACGCAATGTAAAATCTGAATATAAGATTTTGATCAATATCCAGAATTTCAGCTGTTTGTTCATATGCTGCAAAAGCAAGCCTTGAGGTATTGTCATCATTGCTCGTTCCAGAACCACCACTCTTAGGGAAATCAACAACAAGTCCCATTTTGTTCATAAAATCACTCCAAATCTTTTGTTTAGCTAAAGATGCCTTTTCTTTGTGTTCTTTAGATCTTGCTTGCCACTTTCTTGTTTCTTTTTTATATGCAATGTGCAAAACCATCTCAAAAAATGGAATCCATGCATGAAGAGTATTTTTTCATATTTTTTGGAGAGACACCACACACTGAACAGCATTGGTATGAGTTAGTTTTTTCAGATAATATTATTTGAATTTTTCCATCAATCAATGTAAGTTCAATAATACAATTCACTTCAATAAAAGAACCGCAAACCTCTAATAAAATCATACCCATGCTTTCAATCTCACTTTTAATGGACATATTTTCTTCGATCACAAATTCCTTAGATTCCGTTTTGCAAGCAAATCTTATGACTCTACAATAGGCTCTGGATGACAACTTTTGATTTCTCCAAATAGACACCTTTTCATTACTGTTGTTAAATCCAGTCAAATCCAATGGGGCTAGACAAGTAATAAATAATAATTTTTCACGTTTTAAATCTCTGCTCATGTCAGGTTTTGATAAAACTTCTTTATAAATGGTTTGGCCAGTAGTACCATCAAAACAAGCCTTACATGTGAGTGTCATTGTTTTTATTGCTTTGTCGTTCATTATCAAGTGCCTCAGCACAGGTTCCTGAACTGCACAGACTCTTTGCAAAGTATGAACCATTAAATCTTTTAAAAGAACTGAAGTTAAATAATCCTCCTTATATTTGCAAAATAAAGTTTCAATTTTGCACCTCTGACATCATTGTAAGCGGGGTTGAGGGTATATATTCTTTTTCCAAGGCTCCGCTTCTAATCAAGTGATAGGAAGCTTTTGTCAGACTGGCATCAATTATTAAAGCCAGTGCTTCGTCTGCTGAATACATAGTTGATTTATCTGTATTTGAAATATTTAAAAAGTTCTTGGCTGCACTAACAATAGATTCATCTCTAAATTTTTTACAATACATATCTCTTTATTTTTTAAATATTTTGTATTTAAAAGTTTTAATTACTAATTCTTGTTAGTAATTAAGTTACTGCAAGTGTTAGTAATTAAAATTAAAAGTTATTAAATTACTGTTAGTGTTAGAAATTTTTTTTTGTTTAAATGCTATGCAAAATAAGGTAGCCATAGCAACTAAAATAAAATAGCCTCATAAGAATTGTGAATCTTATTTTAACACAATATTGTACACTTAGCGCAGATAAAATACTGTTAAAACAACGTTAATGCAAAAATGAACTGTTGCTATGCAAAATTCAGTACCATAACAACCAAGTTAAAGCATATATAAAATCTGAACGGGGATTTAAGGGGACGAGCAATCAATTAAAACTTGATAGAAGCATCAAATAGCTTAAATAAAAATAAGACAGCACATGGCAAAATATGGTAATTACTAGTTATAGTGCGGCAAAAAATAAATTTAATGAAGATTTTTTTTTTTTTAATCTGTGATTTTCAAAGTATAACTGAGATAACATGCTATGACATATATATTTCACACATTGGTTTTTCTTATCTCTAAATACTCTAGAATAACATGTACTAATTATTTGTTTCAAAAACGTAGATGTAATTGAAATATAACACAGCGTTAATATCACCGTAAATTACTTATTTAAATTTTCTTTTTTTTTAAATTTCAATATTCAAATGCTTAGAGTCCTGGTAACTAAGGGGTTTTATATTAATAAATTATCAATAAATTTCTCCTAATATATATAGATACTAAATTAAATAAGTTTTTAAGATTAGACAACTAAAATTGTTCTTATTTTGTCCACCTACTGGCCCACTGTGCGATGTAGTGATTTCTGTGTTGAACATCACACAGGTGGAAAGTATTTACTTTTATGGATTGTCTTCCACCCGCAACTATAATTACAAAAATTAGCAGGCCCTATTATTATTCAAAAAAGTTTCAAAATTATGTAATGTAGGTACTCAAATAAAACGAGATTTTATAAAAATTTCAAAAATAATAATTTTTTCATATAAAAATTATTATTTTAGATTTTATTGCATAATAACTATAGTTTTTTAACTAAAAGTGAAAAAGGTGCATTTTTACATGTTTTTTAATAACAATTTTCTTTAACAATACGATTTTTATAAAACGATTATTATTTTCGAATTTTTTATAAAATTTCGCTTCTTTTGAGTACCAGGTTGATCTACTTTTGAAAAACTTTTTTTCTCCAAAATATTGGGGTACCGGCAATTTTCCCAATAAAGTTGCGCCCTTTAAATCTATCACAATCATTCTCATATTTGATAGTATCAATATTAATAACTATTAACAATGTTTAGAGCTTGTAACAAGAAAAAAAGTTTTATGACCCACCCTAATATATATAAATATGTATATATATATATATATATATATATATATATATATATATATATATATATATATATATATATATATATATATATATATATATATATATATAATATATATATATATATATATATATATATATATATATATATATATATATATATATATATATATATATATATATATATATATATATATATATATATATATATATATATATATATATATATATATATATATATATATATGTATATATATATATAGCAACAGTTAAAACTATTTAACTCACTCAAAAATACTCAAAAATATGAGGTAGTTTGAATCATGCTTGAATAATCTTGTATTTATTATAGTTTTTAAGGAAGTTTTATTAGATGTTCGGCATTTTTTATTTTTTTGTTAAGAATTTAGTTATTTAGTGAAATTTAATTATTATAAAAAAGTATATATGTATAAATATCTTTTTTATTTATTTATTAATAAATGTATATTTTTAGAATACTTGTTAAAAGAATAATGATAAAAAAGTTTAAAAAACATCAAAAGTGGGTCTAGACAAATATATTTGTATTTTATCGTTATTTTAGTAGTAAGGAATAACTAAAAAAGTAGTAAGAAAAAAAAGGGAATTTTTAAAAAATATATCGTAAAAATTTCACTTCAAAACATCATAATATGAACCGGAGTTTAATTATAAAATTATATATAAATTTTTATATCAAATAAAAATTGATTTAAAAAAATCATTTCATACAATCAATCCATTGTTTATGATAACGAAGCTAAATATAGATTTATTAAGTATAATAGCATTATCATTATTCATGCGTAAAAATGGTGGAGGGCGGAGGGCCAATAGCTCTCCAACTTTTGGTCAAAATCCCCTTAATTTCCTTTTCAGTCCCCCCCCCCCCAAAAAAAAAAAAAAAAAAAAAAAAAAAAACTTTCTTTAGTTAATAGACTTAGGCTAGGTTTAAGTCTATTAACAATGCTTTACACATAAACACAAACTTAAAAATATGAGTAAAATGATACGTTAATTTAAAATTAAGTGTTGTTTATTAAACAAATAGTTTAAAAAAAGCAATTTGCAGAACTGAAATTCCATTGGGATTTTCATATTTTCATTTCTTTGTGATAAGTTTTTATTTTGTCATCTCAAGTAACATTCGCAATTAATATTTATCAGTTATTCCTTATAGCTTTTGAATAATTTAAATCTTCTCCTCTATCATGGAAATACCTGAAATTAGAAGGCGACATGTAAGTTGAATTAACATATTCTAATTTTATATGAGGTGATATAATCTTATATATTGTGACATTTTATATACAAAAAAACAGCCAATAACACCGAATGTTTTAGATTCTTTAAACTTTTGCGCAACTAAGAAAGTCTTTGAAAGCTTATTTCAAATAATCTTTTAAATTAAAGGAATATTTGCAATAAGTTTACCTTGTCAGCTTTGCAACAGAAAAAAATGAAAAACATGTTGCTCTAGGTTTCAAAATATAGAGTTTTAAGTTTTTAAATTCTTTTAGGCGCTAGTGCATTTTATGAATTAACAAATTTTGATTGCAAAGTTAACTAATTACCAAAAATTGTAGAATACCTGCTAGGATGTTTACTTTATAGCATATGTTTTTTGTGTCTATTTTTGGCGCAACTCGATTCCCCCCCCAACCCTATTTTTATGATTGATTATAATAGAATACATTATACTAACTTAAAATTATATAAAAACATAGACTTGAAAACTTGAGGAAAGTATTATAATTTGAAGTTAAAGTTTAAAAAATCACACTAAAAACACTAATATTCCACCATTTTTTTAAAAAGCATTTTAACACTGTTTTAATTTAGGAATCAATAAACTAGAAATTATTTTTTTAATTATGTGGCGTGGTTTTTATTGCAGTCAAAATTTAGACATATTTAAGTCTAATGCACATTTTAAGACATATATCGACTGACAAATAGGATTGACGTAAATAAATATACATACATTGCTGACAAATAGGGGTTGGCGCAAAATAATGTACCTACATCCACTGACAAATAGGGATCAGCATAAATAAATGCAAATGCATAGACTAACAAATAGAGATTGGCGCAATTAAATGGTTTGGATCAGGGTTAGGGTCAGAGATCAATAAGAAATGCGTTTAAAGTTTCAATAGAAACCAGGTTTTTTAAAAGTTACTATTGTAAAGGAATTTAATGTTTTTATATGATTCTGAATCAGTGTAATATAATTATGGTCAATCATAAATAAATCATAGGGGGGGGGAGTATTGCCACTATTTTTTTATTATAAGCCTTGGATTATTTTTCACTATTGACCTCTCATGTAAATCGTACATCCTATCCAAAGTTACAAAATTAGCATTGTTGAGTTTGGGTCCTGCAAATCAATTGCTGTTCCGATTGGAGATTCGATTCAAAAAAACTGATTCCAGATTTTCGAATCATTTTTTTGTTTTGTATTGTTGTTTGTTACTTTTTCTTACTCCCTATTCTATTCTACTTCTATAAATTCTTTATCCAATTTAAGCTTCTGTCATGTTATTGTAAGGTTATATCTTCTTTTTTTTTACAAATACTGTTTTGGTTGGTACTCAACATAGTTTCCTGACTAGAAGAACACTTGATCTTATTAAATCTAATTATGGGTTTTAGTTTTTAACTTTTTCTGATATCTCCTAACAAAAGCACAGCTTTAGAATTTAACTTAATAGTTCCGAGGTTGGCTAATGGTAAAAGTTGTAAAATATCAAAGTACTAGCAATGCCATGTTATAGCTGTAAAATATCAAAGTAATAACAGTGCCGTGTTTTGCATTGATGATGTTAGTTTTTTTACTTTGGTGTACTTAACTTTGGATGGATTAATAGAACTTTATTTTTGTTTAACTGATTTACCCCTAACAAGGCTGCAAGCAACCAATATTAAGTTGGGAGTTACAAGAAAACAAAGACGTTTGTTAAAGAGCAAGTAAAGGGTTGACAGAACAGTTGAAAGATTTGAAAAATTAAAGATTGAGTCAGGTAAACATAAAGATAGCAGAGACTTCCAAAAAATTGAAATGCTGGAAAAAAAAACTGTATGAATAAAAGTTTTTAGAGCATGAAGGGACAGATACAGTAAATGGATGCAACTTTGCTGAATAACAAGTCAATCCAGAATGAGTTTTGACGATGGAGCTTAAGTTAATAACTTATTTGAGCATTATTAAAAGAACCTGCCCAAATATGACAGCAGTATTTCATACAGGGATGAATAAATGATTTATAAGGTAGAGAATGGAATCAGGACTAAGAAAATGGGCAAGCGTGATGGGCAAGAAAACCTTAGCAGATATTTCTGATAAATACAGAAATATATATATATATATTTCTGTATTTATCATATATATATATATATATATATATATATATATATATATATATATATATATATATATATATATATATATATATATATATATATATATATATATATATTTATATATATATATATATTTATATATATATATATATTAATTATTTTCGCTTCTAACAAGGCTGCAAGCAACCACTAATTAGTGTTGGAAGTTACTGGAAGAGAAAAGATGAAGATTGTAGAGCAAGATAACAATTGACAGACAACTTAAAAGATTGCAAATTATATGAATCAGAAGCAACATTACGACGATGTGACAGAGGTTGAAGGTTGGCTGCAAGAGCAGGTCCAACTATGTTTACAATGCATTTTTTGCACCTTGTCTAAAAGAAAAAGGGCATCATTAGAAGATCCGCCCCAGATATGGCAACAGTATTCCATACAAGGCCGGATTTGAGATTTATAGAGATAGAGAATAGAATCCAGAGTAAGAAAGTGACGAGCTCGATAAAGAGAAGCAACTTTAGCAGATGCTAATTTTGCAACGGATTTGATATAAGGTTTCCAAGAAAGATCAGAAGTAAGAGTTATATGAACTATTATATGAATCAAGAGACTATATAAAATATTATATGAATCAGGAAAGCAAGATGAAGGAAGCGAATTCTAAAGGACTGATGTTTGAGGGAAAAAACTAGAGGAATAAGAGTTTTTAGAGCACATTGGAACAGTAACAGAAAAAGGATGAGACTTAATTAAATGACGAGTAACATGAGAATGGATTCGAAGGGGCATCATGAAAAAAATCATGAAAAGAGTCCCAGTCAGCTTTAAGGTCGTTGTAAGATGTACGAAGATAGGGGAATTCTGATGATAAAGAAGAATGAGATAATAGTTTTAGAGAGATCAAACTGTGATCAGAGACACCTAAGGGTGAATGTGGAGAAACTGAGTGCTGACTAGGATCAGAAACAAGACACAAGTCGAGTAGAGAAGATAAATGATTCGGGATGTTTGGAAAGCAAGTTGGAAAGTTGACTATTTGAGTTAGGGATTGAGAAAGGCAAAAGTTGTGGGCTTTAATGTCTGCAGATTCACTGACACTAGATTCAAACCTAGTTTCCCGACAAATGGGTGAATTCTTACGAATATAAATGCCCAGGCCATTGGAGTCTTTACGAATTAAAGGAAGATAACCATCAACACTAAGATCACAAGATGAGACATCTGAACTCAAATTAGTCTCACAAAGAGCTAATAGGTCTGATGAACTTTGCAAAAGATAAGACTTATCAGAAGAAAAGTTACTTTGAAGACCACGAATATTAGTGAATAATAGGTTAAGCAAACTTGGTGATGACAGTGGTTTTTTGTGTTTTATAGTTTTTGTAACTTTATTTTTTTTAAATTTGTTAAAAAACTTGATTCGAAACATAGATAGTACTCAGTAAACTGTTTTATAACCCAAGCAATTGCCTCATTACCATTAATAGACCCTATACCTTAACAAAGGTCTCCAATGTGGCCTTGGCAATGCACACCAAAAGTATAAAAAGGGACACCATGCGCAACATAGCACTGTTACTACTTTGATATTTTTCAGCTGTTGACGGAATCAACCTCTCTGAGAGCTACCACAGAGTTTGGGAAACCTCACCACCAGCTGGCCTCAGAACCATAAAACTGAGTTTTAGAGCTGTACCCTCATTAGGAGACAATAGAATGAGTTGTTTCGTCATAAAAACAGAGACACAAGCAAAACTCATGCATCAAGTCAAGAAGAAATAAGAAATACATGCATGGAGTCAAGAAGAAATATGAGAAATACAGAAGATATGAGCTTTAGAGTTAGCACTGTCAGGGTGATTGAATGAATCAGGGTGATTGAATGAATCAGCCATTCAGTATGAAGAGTATCAAAGTCACCAATAACAATATTGACAGAGGGATAAAGAGAAAGGGTTGATCAAAGTTCATTTGATCAGCAGCCCTTGGGATTAGGAAAAATGAGTTTGGCAAAATATTGCCAACCTTAATCTTTTAGTTGTCAGCAAAAAAAAAATACAAAAATTTTTCCATAAAACATAAAAACATGGTTGGCAATTTGTTGTCAACCTCAAACATTTTATGGTCAGCAGTTAGGTTGGCTTTACCAAATGCCGACCCTAATTTCAAGGGCTGGATCAGAAATTACATTTAAAAAAGTGCAGTCTTGAGAAAAAAGAGAACAATGGAGAACAAAGAGATAATTGATTGAATAAAGAGGTGCTAAGTGGAAGCAAATAAAAGAATGGTCAGAGTATTCAAAATGCTTTCTCAACAAATAGGTGTATTGATGCGTGAATATACTCTAAAGTCAAACATGTGACTATTGGAGTTTTTGCAAATCAAAAGATAGTAGCCAACAAAACTGAGATTCAGAAAAGAAACTTTTAAATTCAAATTAGTTTCACAAAAACTAGACTTGTGAAAAAATTTACTAAATTTGCTTGCAAGTAGTAAATTTTTTCTCAAAAAGTAAATTTTAGTAAGTTTTGTAAAAAGTAAGATTTTACTGATAGAAAATTACTTCGGAGACAATGAATAATTTGTAAAAGTTATATTGAAACAGTTAGGTGATGTATTGCTTTTCTATGTTTTTGACTTGTTTTTTAGACTGTATTTTTGGGTACTTTAGTCATGATTTAAGTTGAAGAGAACTTGACTCATTCATAGAGCATGGCAGCATAATTAACCCAAAATTGTAACTTTATATATATATATATATATATATATATATATATATATATATTATATATATATATATATATATATATATATATATATATATATATATATACATATATATATATATATATATATATATATATATATATATATATATATATATATATAAATATATAAATATACTTCTGTTCTTTACCAACGATCTGCATGGCATTATTACTCATCTAATAAAATGTTGTGCTAATGACAGTAAGATCATAGCAGTTGGATAATTATGTACCTTACAAAATGACATTGAAAAAACTGTTCAATTGTCCCAACTTTGGGTCATCAAACCCAAAAAATATGAGGTTATGTATGTTAGCAAATATTATCAAATTAGATATACACAAGTTTATTCAATGTCCAATTATGATGGCAATTGATGCAATCTTACTGTAACAAATTATGAATGAGATCTTGGAGTCATTGTCTTGCATGATCTAAAAAGTTAGTAATCAAATGGGAACCACAGCTTTATCAAATAACAGAATTCTTGTTAAAAATACATTTCATAGATGCAGTCTTTTCTCTAGACACATGTATATACATCAGGTCAGAGGTATCTGGTGTTGCTCTTCTTCATCAATATTTATTGTTTTTTCTTGACACAGTAATGATCTGGTGATATCTTTATTGCACAGTTTAGTCATATTTTAAACTCTAACAATTAGTTAAAAAAATTTTATTACTTATTATACTTGTTATTTATTTTATTGGTTTATTGATCGTATAATTATTTATATTGATTTTGAATAAACAAACTCATTTAACTAAATGATTCATGCATTTATTTTTACATTAGTTTTGTGAATTATTAAGTTAGTTTATAAGTTACATAAAAAAATCAATTTTCAGAAAAAATACAATACAAAGTTCAAATAAACAACTTGGTTACGTGCTAAAAAAAAACATATAATCAAGTAAATCAGATGTAAAGCAACTACTTTGGAGCAATGTGCTTTATTAGAAAAAAAAGTTTTTTAAAAACTTATTTAAGATATTTGTATTTGTTTTTATACGAAAATGTTACGCTTTCAGAAATTGTTTAGTTTTTCCATATAAACTAGATATCTATGATAAAATATACTAAAAATCTATGATAAAATATACTAAAAGATCTAAAGTATCTTTTATTTAACAAATCACAATACATAACTAAAGTAACTAAAGTATCTTTTATTTAACAAATCACAATACATAACTAAAGTCACTAAAGTATCTTTTATTTAACAAATCACAATACATAACTAAAGTCACTAAAGTATCTTTTATTTAAAAATAGAATTGCTGCTTAATTAAATTTTCTACAAAGTTATGTCATTGAGCCTCAAATTTAAAAACTGTTTTAGAAAAAGAATAAAAAAATATACAAAAATCCTTGAAAATACTAAGGAACATTACTGGTACAAAAAACAATGCTGTTGCAAAGTTACTTACATCTAATTCTCCATCGTTAAACTTGGTTGTTTGCAACTAATTCTCCATTATTAAACATGGTTGCTTGCAGCAGATAAAACGCTTTACACAGACATAATGATAAAACATGTTTTTTTTGTTTTTTTGTATAATTAAAGTTACTAATACTAACACTAAAAATTACTGCCACTTTTTATTAAAATTTTTTTTTTTTTAATTAAAGAGTTTAATTAATTTTATGCTTAATTTCGCACAAAGTACATTCAAAACTCATAACGTGACATTTCTATTATGTAAAAAATTTTTTTTTTTTTTTTTTCACTAATTTAAATCTTCTTTTTTGTTCAAAATGTTTCAAATATCTTATAATTTAATTCAACTGAAGCTAAAGATTTAATCAATTTTAGATCAATAGTTAACTATGAAACAGTTTGTTTATTCATTGTTGTTGTTGTTGTTGTTGTTGTTGTTGTTGTTGTTGTTGTTGTTGTTGTTGTTGTTGTTGTTGTTGTTTATTGAAAAATATGTTGCCTTGAAAAATATGTTGTTGTGTGTTTGAAGTATTTTTTTGAAAGTTAGCTTAACTTAATTAGTCCACTTCAATAACATTACTTTCAAGTTAGAAAAAGGCTGAAAAGCATCTAATTCTATTTTTAAATCGATAAAAGTAGGGCCCTGTATGCTTAGACTTTTATATAAATTTTATATAAAGACATGAATTTTTAATGCTTTTTGAGTTTTTTATAATTTTTTTTTTAATTTGCTTTAGTTTGATTTTTAGATAAGCTTTATCTCTATAAATAATATTTTTTAACATCATTTTAGTTTATGTGAAACAAAATTTTTTTGTACTTTTTATTGATTTTAATTTTTAGGATTCTTACAACTTTAGTAATCTTGCAAAACATGAAGCTAAAGAAGGCTGTTACTCTGACATCAATTCACTTTTGGAAACATGCCCAAAAGAAAAATTAGATGTATGTGGTAAAATTCAAATTACTAAATGTATTTCTATTTTTATTTAAATTATCTGCATATATTTATCTCTGATTTTATTAATTTGTTGCTTTTTATTTCTAAAGTTTTTAAATTTTAAATTATTATTAGTAATTTTTATTACTAATTATTTTTTATTTTTGTACTTAAAAATGTTGCACCTAGTTAAAATGGTGGATATGTATAGGCTTATGATTAGAAATTTTGTAAAAATTTTTGTATTAGAAAGACTGTATCAAGTATGACAATTATCCGTACAAGAGTTGCCGTAGTAGCAAATTTTTATGACTTTATCAAATGGCACAAACAGAAAAAAATTGTGCATTTTACCTGTACAAATGTACCATTACAGCTTTTTAGACATTATTTTGCATGCTTCTTATTCTTTTACATATACATTTTTCAATATATCTTTATAATATATGTATTGTAGACATATATATATATATATATATATATATATATATATATATATATATATATATATATATATATATATATATATATATATATATAGTATGCAAAAAAAAATAATCGTACACTTGAAAAAAAATTGTAATTTTAAAGATTGCATCAAAAAAATTAGTTTTTTGTTAAAATATTTGAAAATTTTTTTTAGATATCTTATCAAGTTTTGTTTTAAGAATTTATTTGTGTATTGGTGAGTTAATTGCTTTTCATACCTATTAAATTTTACACAATTGATCTAATGATGCATTTAATTGACTGCAAAAAAAAAATCGTACAGTTCAAAAATAATGTCAAATTGATCAAACTTCATGAAATTTAGACGATTTGGCATTGAGTTGACCAAATCGCTAGACGATTTGGCATTGAGTTGACCAAATTTTGGGTTTCTTCTGTTATATTATCCCATGCGCTCATTATAGCTTATTTTAAGTCATCTTTTTGTCTAAATGCTCGATCACCAATTTTTCTGTCCAAAATATACCACAAATTTTCTATAGGATTCAAGTCTGGACTTTGAGATGGCCATTCCATAACATTGATGTTATTTGTGTCAAAGTATACCTTTGTTTTCTTAGCAGTATGTTTTGGATCGTTATCCTGCTGCAGTATAAAATTCTTTCCCATTCTCAATTTTGTAGTAGATAGTCGCAAGTTGGCTTTAAGAATTTCACAATACATTGAAGCATCCATTTTTTTATCAATAATTGTCAAGTTCCCTACCCCTTTTCAACTCATACTACCCCAAACCATCACATTTCCTTCTCCATGCTTTACACTACCTCGCAATTAACTTAATTTATAAGCTTCTTCTTTTTTTCGCCACACTTTTTGAACTCCATCCAATGAGACAAGGTTGTATTTGGACTCATCTGACCACAAAATTTTTTTCCAATAAGATATCAGCATTTTTTTGTACTTCCTTGCAAATTCTAATCGACGTTTTATTTGTTTTGAAGTTAAAAATGGTTTTTTTCGAACTACTCTACCTCTATATCCTTGTTCTCTAATACGATTTCTAATTGTTTGAGGGGTTACTGTGATATTGTGATCTTCTTGAAATTTTAAAGCTAATTTAGCTGCCGAAACAAATCTATTTTTCTTCACATTAATGATGATATTGCGATCAGTTGCACTAGTGGTCTTGCGTTTTCGTGCTCTGCCAACCACACTAGCAACAGTTCCAATCAGATTATGCTTCTTAACAATTGAGGACACTGTCGTAAAAGTAATTCCTGTTTCTTTTTGGATCTGACGGTAGGATTTTCCTCGATTTTTTAAATCAACTACGAGGCTTTGTTGATGGAAAGACAAATGTTGTTTTCTTGATGCCATTTTGCTGAAACACTATATTTTATTCTTAGAACAATAGTGTATTTAAAAAATTACTATTTTTAATTTTACTATCTAGTTTAATCATTCAATTCGCTCAATTTATGCTAAAATAACGACATATTTTGTCAGCGTATGATTATTTTTTTTGCAGTCAATTATATGCATCATTAGATCTATTGTGTAAAATTCAATAGGTATGAAAAACAATTAACTCGCCAATACACAAATAAAATTTTAAAACAAAACTTGATAAGATATCTAAAAAAAATTTTCAAATATTTTAACAAAAAACTAATTTTTTTGATGCTATCTTTAAAATTACGATTTTTTTTCAAGTGTACGATTATTTTTTTTGCATACTGTTTATATATATATATATATATATATATATATATATATATATATATATATATATATATATATATATATATATATATATATATATATATATATTTCAAAAATGATTTATTCCACCAATCAAAAATGTTTTTTATATTTCATATTATTTGGGCTATTGTAAAACTTAAAGTTTGGCAGGTTTTTTTTATCATACTCTTCAAGTATAAAAACATTTTTTGTATTAAAATTTATAATATAATTACATTTAAATTTACATTATAATTAAAATTTAGCAAAATTTAAATTTAGTTTCTATGGCAATGTCAGTGATTATTGAAGACTTAGTAATGTTGTTCAGATTTTCTGATTAGACATATTTTTTTTAATTTTATTGCCTTGGACTTATTATTCACAAAAGTATTAATTTAATAGTTTAATTTGTACACTCTGCGAAATTTCCATACTTCTCTGAAGTTATTGTAGATTTTATGCAGAATGTATTCAAAAATTCAAAATCAATCAAAAAAGTTATCTTTATTAGACCTGTTGCAAACAAATGCCTTTATGACAATTTTATGTGTTTCTGATACAATTGAAAAGTTTTCTAGAATGTTTTTAAAATCGGTATATACACAGGCAAAATTTCCATAGTTTTATCAGTTTGTTTTGAACACTTAATAAGAGTTGAAGTTTGAGTAAGATTTAAGATTTTGATTTGTTTGTTCTTTATGGAAGTTTTGTGTATTTTTAATTAACATTTGTTATTTAATTATTACATAATGAGGAAGAAAAAGCAAAAATTGTTTCTTACAAAGATATAGGTTTGTTCAATCAACAAATTGCAAAAATAATCAAAAGGACTCATCATGCAATGAGTAGTTTTATAAACTTAAATGAAAATAAAAATCACCTTAGGGGTCGAAATAAAAAAATAACCAAAAGGCAACATTCTTTCACTTTGCGTTTAGCGTCTAAACTGACGCCAAAACGTCAAAACAACAAATAATTAATTATTATTTTTTTACCAATTTTTTATCAATAGTATAATAATTTGAATCTTTTATAAAAAAATATAATTTTATCATAATATTTTTTTATAAAAGATAGAATGCTGTGTTTATAATTTATAATATCAATATAATATTATTATAATATAACTTAATAACTTTATAACTTATTTTAATAATAAAGTATTATAAAGTAAAGTATAATCTAGTTATTAAGGCTTTGAGCGCTTGAGCTCTTTTGAAATGCTAATATAATAGATAAAATTCTGAGAAGAGGTTGATTACATACTGATACAAAGATTACATTTATACAAAAGCATTTATGCTTTTTTTTATGCTCTGTATTATTTTAAGTTTGTTTTATTTTGCAGTTAATTTTTATTATATTTGTTTAAGCATGGTAAGTAATACTCATATTTTTGTTCATCAGTATTTAAATTAATGATTTTAGGTTTATTTTATATATATCGTTTATATCCATTTTATATTCATATTTTGTCTTTGTTTTTTGTCTAGAAAAAACTGTCTTAATTTTCTTTGTTTGAAAACTAAATTTCCTTAATCCTACTTTATTACTCCCTAAGATATTCATTGATTGTGTGTGACTATTTGACAAATTTATATGCCAAAACTTGTTATTATTTATTTTTAGGAGTTCAGGAAAAATCTCATAGGCTTTAAACAGTTGTTTTCTCGAATGGTAGATGATGATGAACCTCATTTGAACTGGAACAGCATATCTCCACCTCCAAAAGAATTGGTATTAATAAGTTGTATATTTTACAACATATTTTTATAAACTTAATGTTTTTTTTTAGATATTTAGCTATTTTTTAGATATTTAGCTATTTTAGTTTTTTTAGATATTAAGATATTTTTTTAGATATTTAGATATTAGCAAACTTAATGTTTTTTTAGATATTTAGCTTCTATAACTTTTACAATAGACAGATTTCAGTAATATATAAATTTTTTTTTGCCTATTATAGACTCTAAATTTTGCAAATATTTTTCAAAATTCAATTTAAAGCTACTCACTAAAAAAAAAATGTGTAGTATACATTTTTTTTCAGTGTGTAGCTTTAAATTGAATTTTGTAGAAAATGAAACTTTATTGTTAAATGTCTTTAATGTTAAATGTAAACTTTAATGTTAAATATGTCACATTTAAAATATTGTTTTCACTGTAGGTTTAGTAGTATTATTTTTTTGTAGTGCTGTTTCTAAAAGTTTTGTTATAGTATGAGTACATTACTTGTAAAATATAAAGAGATTTATTGACCTAAAAAAAATATATAGAGATTTATTGACCATAACAAAAAATACCAGTTCTAAAAAGTATACAGACTAAAATGTATTGTTTGTTTTGTAGATATAGTAATGTTTGTATCCTTGAAACTATTATTAATTCCATTGTGATCAAATGATAACAGGGGGACTCACAGATATAAAGAAAAAGATGATGCTGTGTTTTAATTATCATAAGAACTGATTGTGACAATTGTCAATTTGTTAAAGTGATAGCAACTAAATTTTTTTTTGTTTGTTCAACATCTCAGAGTTGGAAGTTATTAGAAGAGAAAAGACTTAGTTGTAAAGCAAAATAACGATAACAGACAACTTAAAAAATTGCAAATTATATGAATCAGAAAAACAAAATTAGCAAATTCCAAAGAACTGTTCAAACAAGGAAAAATACAAGGATAAAAAAGAAAAACGCTAGATAAAAAATAATTTTTTTAGTACTTAGGTATAGTCTCAGTAAAAAGTCGAGACTTAATTGAATGACGAGTAACACGAGAATGAATTTCAGTAAATGGCAAAAGAGACACTATCTCTTTAGAGCTGCCCTCTTTAATAGTATTTATAGAAAAGAGAAAGAAAAGCAACATTACGAAAAATGAGACAATGATTGAAGTTTAGCTGCAAGAGCTGGTTAAACTACATTTACATTGCGTTTTTGCACCTTATCAAAAAGAGAAAAGGGATATCATTCAAAGATCCGCTCCAGATATGGCAACATATAAGGGCGGATTAAAGATTTATAGAGATAAAGAATAGAATCCATAGTAAGAAAGTGGCAAGCACAATAAAGAGATGCAACCTTATCAGATTCAAGTTTTGCAATAAATTTGATATATGGTTTCCAAGAAAGATCAGGGGTAAGGGTTAACCTTTGAAGACAAAGGGTAGATGACTCATTGAGTACATTACTGTTCATAAATATAGGAAGATCTAGATTGTGATAATGATGAATTAAAAAAACTTTATCACTAGTTCACCTTTTATTGTACTACAAATATGGGGAAAATAAATGTACTTAAGACTTAATGAATTAATAACTGGAGCTGACAAAATTTTTTTAAGAATCTAACATTCTTAGGTCCCTAATGAAAAAAGTATATTAATAATTGTCTGAAGAAGAATGAAAAATCAAAAAGATTTTAACCTTTTTGACAAACTAAGTGTCTGACAAAGTTTTGTAAATTAAGAAAACTTTTAAAAAACACTTGTTTTGAGGTCTCTATAACTGTATACAACAAGTTTAATTGTTTTAACTACATGATTATTTTGTAAATCCCAATTTTGATTTTAGGTAATGGAAGTAATATGTTTTTTACAAATTTAACTTCTTTATTTTTTTCACCTTTAATTTTTAAGATTTTAACTCATAGTCTTAAAACTTTAAAAAAAAAAAAAAAAAAAAAACTTAAAAAATCTTTAATAACCAAGTTCTACAAGATGGTTCTGCAAATGTTTTTGCAATAAGTACTATAACAACAGGCAGCAATAAGTAAAAAAGATCCCTAAAATATAATATGCTAAAGGTATTAACTGAGACAATTTTTAAAAAATTGTCTCAGTTAATACCTTTAGCATATTATATATACGCTCGCACGCACACAAAGAAATATATGTGTGTTTCTGTTATGTTTATATAAAGCACTGCTTGCTAAATGAGTTTCATTTAAGTCACACCACAGTTAAAACCACACAAAATATATGTAGTCAAATAGTCAAAAGTTCTTTGTCAAAGGTGACAGCAATGCATTGGTTTCAATAACTTTTATGACAACAACTTTATGTTGCAAGATTGCCCAGGTCCTACAAACCAACAGAATTGAATTTAGAACATTTTAAATTTGGATCCAATATAAACTACCAACTACAAGTGGTCATAGAGAATAGCGATGCACCTGTTTTTGGAGATTAATTATGAAATTATAAATAAATAAATTTTTATTAGAAATTGCTTATTACTTTATAGCCAACCCAATAGATTGTATTGTCCAAACCTAATCACTCTGTTGATGTATGTACTAAAGAGAAAGGAGGTTGTTTCAGTATGGGGTTGTCAACAATGTTTCATGCAATTAACAAAATTTTTCTTATATCTAAATAATGCTAAAATAAGTTTTAAAATTTAGTGAATTTATGGTAATGAGTTTATAGTAAATGAAATATAACTTAGTAAGTGAAATTCACTTTCAAATTTGACCAAAAAGTGACAAAAAAACTTGAAAGGTAGTTAAATATAAAAGTTTGAATAATTAATTTTAAATCCATCCTTTGAAAGATTATGAACTTTAAGTTTTTAAAAAAAATTATTTTAGCTTCATTATTTATTATGCCCTTTAATTTATTAAAGTGTATAGTCATAATTATTTAATTATATGAATATATATGTATTTTTTTAAATTATAACTATTTTTTTTATTTTAGTATGTATAGTAGGGTGTTGACTTTTTGGTATCTCCAGTTTCCTATATAAAAAACAGATGAACTTTGGTTTGAAAGTAACTGAAAAGTCATTAGTTTTATTTAATTTTTGAACAAGGTCAACCACCTCTGATTACACACTGGCTCTCATATATCAGTGAATTTTTTGTTTTTAAAATGAGTTACTTAAATTTTATATACAAAAAAACAACAATTTTTAACTAAAAATTGAAAAGGTCGTTGTTTTTATCATTTTGTTTGTAATATTTTTTTTTAAAAAGTTTTAGTAGAAAAGATAATGACTAGAGATACCAAAAGTTAAAATCCTAATGTACAGTCATATAGCGTTATTATAAATAGTATATAACAGCAATTTTCATTAGAAAAGATTAGAGTATTTTGATAAAAATTTTTGCAGATAAAAACATATGAAGAAGTTATGCTAAAGTCATCTACAGATGTAAAAAAATTGTTAGACAAGCTTGTTGTTGTTAAACTAAATGGTGGTCTTGGTACTAGTATGGGTTGCACTGGACCAAAGAGTGTAATAACTGTTCGAAATGAATTCACTTTTTTAGATATGCAAGTCCAGCAAATTGAGGTAAACAATACAATGTTTAAATAATGAGTTATAATGCATTATATTTATTATTATGCATTATTTACTATAATTTATTTATACATTATTTATTTTTACTTATATTTATTTATACTTATTATTATGCAATTTTTACTATTATAATAGTAATTATTGTTAATGTATATTAGTAGATGTTAATATACTAGAAATATAGGTTTTTTAGTAGTAGAAAAAAAAAATAGGTTTGACTTTTTAAAATTTTTTTGATACTTTTTTGGTTTTTGGTTTCTGGCAAAATTTTTGGCATTACACCAGCATTTGAAAAATATATAAACATATTTGGGAATAAATTTGTCTGTATTTTGTTTACTACTATGTTTCCTAAATTATTCGGTGCCAGTTTTTTATGATGTAGGTTTAAGCAAAGTTTCTGTATCTTAATTGGAGTGATTAATTCTTGAAAAATTGAAGCACTCACTTGAGCATATTAAATAATAGATTTAGTATGTTGATATTTAATGAACTTATGCTAATATATTTTTTTAAAAGAAATTGTATGTAACATGATGTAAATTATAGAAAATGAAATAAATTGAATGACAATTAAATTTCCAAAATTGAACTTTTTTAACCAGGCATAACCAGTCTAGATTAATAACCAGTCTGGATTAATATTCTTTTTACTAACTTGAAAGTCATAAGTTTCTCAGGCATTTTTTTTTATGAAAATGAAAGATAAATCCAATAATAATTATAAAAAAAAAGTTTTTTTTGCCATACAAGTTTTTTATATCAAAATAATTTCTGACCGAACTTTCAGGCAATGTATGTACTAAGGCCCCCACAGATGGCTGCTTCAGCATGGTGTCATCAATGATATTACATACAGAGCTAAGTATGCAAAATTAGCTTTATAATAATAGTCTAATCTAGTTTTGTTGGTTTATAAAATGGTATTTTCAAGATTTTCAAATAGACCATGTGAAAATAGGGGTTTTGTTAGTTCTTGATTGCTTATTACCAAAAATCTAGATACAAAATTTAATTCATCTATAATCTAAAACTGTAGCATATTATTGATCTATTACTCAACTTTGATCATGATCTATAACTCATCTTTGATCATGATTTTTGCCATGATCTTTGATCATGGCAAAAATCTATATTACTGGTAAAAATCAGGATTTAGGATCTTAAGTTCTTTAAACATGTACTTCAAAACTTAACCAGTCATTAAAAAAATATACCTATATTGTATGCGCAGTTTTCTATAGCTCATACAGTATATACCTATATTGTATGAGCAGTTTTCTATAAGAAATTACTGGATTAGTTTTTATTACAAAAATATTTAAATATTTAAAAATATTTTTTTTACTTTTTAATTAACTTAATAGCTTTAACATTAAAAAACTTTGTTTCACATATTCCAGTTATTAAAATTTACTTCTGGAACCATTATCAACATTAAATAAGAGCTGTTTCACATATTGCAGTTATTAAAATTTACTTCTGGAACCATTATCAACATTAAATAAAGTACGGTAATGTTAAATAAACATAGAAAGTCAAGTGATTAATTAATTTTTTTTTAATTAACTAACCTTAATAAAATAGTAATTGCATTTGGGATATCATGAATTTTCATCCAAATTATCTCCAAGTTTTCATCCAAATTAATTAGTTATTATTGTGCATATCATTATATATTTCTTCAGCTCTTTGAAAAAAGGTTCCAATCAATGACAGATATATTTTAGAAAATGCTAATTTTTATTTTAATTTTTTCTATTTATGTGTTGTGTGGAATCTGTACTAAATTATCTTTAGTAACCCATTTTTAGAAACGCTTTTTAGGTTAAAACTGTTTTTTTTCTTTAAACAATGACCTTCTGGAAAGTTTTTTTGCAATAAAATATATTCAGGCATTTTTAAGTTTGTTTTTAATTCATATCAAATGCTTTTTTTTTTGCTTTTATACTAGTATTTTCAAATGATAATTTTATATAATTTTTTGTGTTTTCTACTATTTTTTTCTAAATAGACAAAAATCAAACTATTTTTTTTTGTAAATAATCTGAAGTTGTTCTTCAGAACAGAATGTAAAAATATTTTTACTAAATAACAACTTTTCTACATCAGTGAGAAAAATAAAAGCCAGTAAACAATCAAACTTTATAAAGATGTTAGTTGTTAGTTAAAATTAATTTTTGTTATGATAGTTAAAACATCTAATCAGCAGTTAAACATTCGTTGCTGTTGTTTTTTTGAAATAAGAAACTTGCTTTTTTTAATAAGAAACTTGTTTCTTATGTAAACAAGTTTCTTATTTTAAAAATTTTAAACCCAAGTGTATATATATTTTTAATATATTGTTTGTATAAGAAACTATTAGTACTAAGTTGCATAATTTATTAAGTAATTAATTTCCATGCGCAGTGCAATTCCATTTTAAATTTCCTTATAGCTAAAGTTTTTAATTAAATGATTCAAATGGAAACAATAATAGTATATATATTGTGTTTTTAAATATTATATATATATATATATATATATATATATATATATATATATATATATATATATATATATATATATATATATATATATATATATATATTTATATATATATATATATATATATATATATATATATATATATATATATATATATATACAGTATATATATTAGTGATGTACCAATTAATCTGCATGGGCATTGGCTTAATTGGCCACTTTTTGCACAATCGGCATCGGCCTTTTTTACCAATTTTCCAACCGATGGCATTTTAATATTTTTATCCTGCATTATTATAACAATGAAATAATAAGTAAACTAAACTTTGTGTACTTATAATTTTTTGGATAAATTTTTATTTTAACTTTGTTTGTAGGCAAAAGCATTAAAAGTAACCTATTTAAGCATTGTTATCTATATTTTTTATTTTTTTTTTACTTGGGAGAAAAAAAGAGTAGAGTTATAGAGCAATGAAGCGGTTGACAGAAGACTTAAAAAGTTGAAGGTTGTATGAGTCAGGAAAACATGAAGATGGGACGTTCCGAAGGGTTGAAGTGCGTGGAAATAAGCTAGACAAATAAAAGTTTTTGGAGCATGAAGAGACAGATACAGTCGAAGAATGAGATTTTGATGAATGACAAGTCAAGCGAGAATGAGTTTTGGTTGATGGAACTAAAGATGAAAGCTCCTTTGAGCAGCAACCATGATAGTATTTGTAGAAAAGAGAAAGAGATGCAACTTTACGATGATGGGAAAGAGGCTCAAGCTTAGCAGATAGTCCGGGTCCAACTCTGTTTACAATGCTTTTTTAAATCTTATCTTGAAGAGAAAGAGCATCATTAGAAGAACCAGCCCAAATATGATAACAGTATTCCATAGAGGGACGAATAAGAGATTTGTAGAGGTTGGGAATGGAATCAGGAGAGAGAAAATGATGAGCATGATAAAAAGAAGCAACCTTAGCAGATGCTAATTTAGTAATCGATTGTATATATGGTTTCCATGAAAAGTCATTAATAAATGATAATCCAAGAAGATGTAAAGAAGTGGAATCAGTGAGAGGGTTGCTATTCATTAATATAGAAATTTCGACAGTACTGCAATAGTTATTTGTCTGACAGCAAGTTATTTGACTCAAGATGGAATGTGAGAAATTTGTTTGTCAAAGACTCAAAAACCTTGCTAATAACTGAAAGAAGACTGATTGGACAATATATAATTCAATATATAAGTCAGTAAGTTTACCAGATTTTTTAAAAATTAAAACAACAGATGTCATTTTCCAGTAGGCAGTAAAATAAGATTCAGTCAAGCACTTATTAAATAGTTAGAGAAAATTAAAGAGAGTTCTGGAGAACAATTTTATAAGATTGTGACAGGAATGTTGTCTGGACCACAAGCCATAGAAGAGTTTAATCAAGATATGACTATGAGCAATGGAAGCAGAAATGTTTTGAATGTCTAACATTAAGTTAACATGTTTAATAGAAGGAAGAGAATATTCATAAGATTCAACAGTCGGGTTAGAAGAGAATTTCTTTAGAATTAGTTCAGCCTTATTTCATGTATTTAAGTATAGCCAAGTCATATCAAAACTCATCTATCATAGATGAGTTTTTTCCGGAAATTCCCGGAATTCCGGAAATTCACTTGAAACACCTTTAATTTTTCCAGAAATTTCCGGATGATATTAATTTGAAAAAAAATTAATATATTTTTACATAAAATTTTACATACGACAACTTTTGCATTTAAACAAATATGTTTTCTTTAATTAAAATTTTCAGGAGATCAATTTTCGTAACATTTTTTTTTCTTTTTTTTTTTTTTGCTTTTTAATTCATTCAAACTTTTATGTAAAAAGTTAAAAAATCTAAATTCCGTTTTAAAATAATCTAAATTCTGTTTGTAAGTTAAATGCAATTTAATCCCTTTCCGGGATTTTCCAGGATTATCATAGAAAAAAAATTTCCGGGATTTTCATATAGTCAAATACTCATCTATGTTCTTTATTTTTAATTTTTTTATTTCAATTCCCTCCCTAATGCCACAAAGGGCACTTTAATCGAGGAGGCTTCTTTAGTTATGGTTACAACCCACTCTCAAATTTATAACTCAGAAACACAGACCTTGATGACCGCTGCATGTAAAAAAAAGTTGAGCGCTGTACTACCAGGGATGTGGTTGGGATCGAACATCACAAAACAAAAGTATTCTAAAAACAATTTATTCATCTAAAAATAATTTATATGTCTAAACAACATGATTGTTGTTAAAAAATTAATAAACTAGTAAACTGCATATGATTATTTTTTTAAAAATTAAAATAAAAAGCGTTTCTCTAAAATTACATTTATTTTTTTTGAAAGTTTTCTTTCATAGTAGAAAAAAATAAAAATGTATATTTTTTTAACTAAGTTTTTTCTAAAATCTTTTAAAATAATTGTTTGGCTTTGATTTTGGTCCAAGTATTTGTTTACCAGTACTGATTTAAAGTTGTATG